CATCCATCCATCCATCCATCCATCCATCCATCCATCCATCCATCCATTATCTTTACTCGCTTCTTCCTTTTCGGGTCGAGGGGGTCACTGTGCTGGTGAAGATTCTCAGTCATCCAGGACATGATAAATTCAAAAAGTGTTCAATACAAAAACAACTGGACTTTGTAACAGAAGACGTTTCGCTCCTCATCCGAGGAGCTTTCTCAATTCAAAGAGCAGAGAGTGAGAGATTCAGGTTATAAGGCTGAGTGAGATAAGACACACACACACGTAGATTGGCAATTCACACCTAAACACCTAAACAGTAGGTCTTTGTTCCTCTAATTCACAGACGAGGCCCCTCTGTTCCCATCAGGTGTGAAAACCGGCTGGGAATCTGTTTTAAAGTTGCATTATAGGTTTTTGAAATTGGAAATCTGAGGCCTCCTCCTCTGTTAAGAGATGGTTTTTCTCTTTTTACATAAATTGCTTCCTTCACCCCCCTCTCAAACCATCTGTGTTCTCGGTCCAAAATGTGCACATTTTGGTCTTCAAAAGAGTGTCCCTTATCTGTGAGGTGGAGGTGAACAGCTGAGTCTTGTCCTGAGGAAGTAGCTCTCCTGTGTTGAGTCATGCATCTGAGAAGAGGCTGTTTAGTTTCTCCAATGTAGAGGTCTGGACAGTCCTCACTGCACTGGACCGCATACACTACACCACTCTGTTTGTGTATGGGTGTTCTGTCCTTAGGGTGGACCAGCCTCTGTCTGAGAGTCCTGCTGGGTTTGAAATGTACTGGGATCTTGTGTTTGTTGAAGATCCTTCTGAATTTCTCTGATACTCCAGCAACATAAGGGATGACAATGTTTTTCCGTCTGTTGTTCTCCTTTTCCTGTTTTAGTGTGTTTTGTAGATTTCCTCTCTGACTTGACAAAAGCCCAGTTAGGATATCCACATGTTTGAAGAGCTTCTTGAATGTGTTTCTGTTCCTTTTCCTTACCTTTATGGCCAGCCGTCACTGTGCGAGAGGCGGGGGACACCCTAGACAGGTCTCCAGTCCATCACATGGACACATAGAGACAAATGAGACAAACAACCATTCACTCTCTCACCTAGAGACAATTTAGAGTTACCAATCAGTCTAACTTACATGTTTTTGGTCTGTGGGAGGAAACTGGAGTAACTGGAGAAAACCCACACATGCACGGAGAGAACATGCAAACTCCACCCAGAAAAGCCCCCGGCCGGGATTGAACTGGGACGACCTGCTCGCTGAAGGGCGGCAGCTCTACCAACTGATCCACCGTGCTGCCCCCACCAGGTTTCCTTATCATCCATCCTCTGTCCAGATGACACAGTACCACTTGTCTCTTTAATTCATGTTGCTGTAATAGCCCAGTTGTTTGGAAGACCTTTTTTTATTTTTACCAGATCCTTTAACAGCTGCTCTCTGAACTCCTCACAACATTCTTTCTTCTTCAGCTTCAACCATTTTTTCTTTTCAGAATTTATTATTTTTTCCTGTTCTTCACAACAACAACATCATTCTACACACAACCAGACTGTGGCCAGATGCTGTCGGCCACACTCTCGCCTGACACAACCTTACAGTCTCCCTCAGGTTCCCTCTTCTACACAGAATGTTCCTGTGTTACCACTGAGCTACACTTAAAACACTTCAGCTCCAAGACACTGATGTTCAAGTACAAACCATCTCAATCAAAATCATCTTTCAAGTATATATAATAATATAACTAATAACAGAACATGATTAAAAAATATATTAGAAATCTAGCATTTTAAATGTTACACTCATGAACAGTGAATCTCTGATTTTAGACGCAGCTGCTAAAAACTAACTACTGTTTTTGCTTAAGAGCTGCACAGAATGTAAATCTCTGTATAACGGAGTTTGACGAATTCTTCTGAAGCTTTTGAGACTTCTTCCTGTCTGTACCAGAAACATATTGAAACTTTGAAGCCTCAAAAATTACACTGACAGTTACAGCAACCAAGACCATCAATATCATCATCATTCAATATTTTGAGAAATTTTTGAGCTGACTTTCAAAGTAGTTACTTTTGTTTTGAAAGTCCATACAGGAAGTATTAGCATGCTATGCAGGTCTCACTTATTGCCACTAGAGGGCGACAAAACCATTTTCGATTCATCTTAATATTCAGATTCAGATTCAGACATTCTTTATTGTCGATCGCACCTCATGTGGTGCGAACGAAATTATGTACACAGGCTCCCAGTTACATCCAACAATAAAATGTAAAAGGAAAACAGTAATACGATCTAAGACGTGAACTAAGTAAAATGTTAACTAAATATACACTACGCACCAATAGCATAAAAACAGCAGCACAAACATGAGTCTGTGAGCAGAGGAGCACGAATGAACACAGCAGATCAGCAGCAACATGAAACAGATCAGCAGCAACATGATGTGATTTTTCACAGTGATTATTCTGGTTAGAGATTCATGAGTCTAACAGCCTCAGGGTAGAAGCTGTTCCTCAGTCTAGTGGTTCTACACTTAATGCTCCTCAACCTCCTTCCTGAATGGAGCAGGGCAAAAAGTGTGTGTGCTGGGTGAGAGAGGTCCTTCATGATGCAGGTGGTGGGGAGGCTGACTCCAACTGACTTCTGTACAGCCTTCACCACTCTCTGCAAAGCTTTACTTTTGCAGAAAAATGAAGTGGAAAAATAGCAGAAACAAATGGACTTTTTTCAAGTTGGCAATGAAATTTGGAGTTATAAATTGTTTTGGTGTAATATTTTGAAATATTTTTACATAAAGTTATTTTTCTGTCAAATTGTAGTGCTGGAAATCAGATTTGCTGTTGCAGTTCCTATATTTTCCACTAGAGGGAAGGCGAGACACGATAGACAAGTGGTCTGAAATGACTGATAACCATGTTTACAGTTTATAAGTAAAGGTGAAACTAAAATAGGATCACCATGGACTTTGTGGATAAGGTGAGGGATGTCATCATGGAGACTGATGAAACAATGGTCTCTTTTGATGTCACATCACTCTTTAGGTGCATTCCTGTTGAGGATGCAGTAGAGGTGGTCAGTTTAAAATTAAAATCAGACACCACTCTGAGCAGCAGGACCACACTTTCCACAGAACAACTGTGTCAACTCTTGAAACTGTGCCTGCAGTCAACCTACTTCACATATGGGGAGCAATATTATAGGCAGAAACATGGGTGTGCTATGGGGTCTCCAGTTTCTCCTATTGTTGCCAACCTGTCCATGGAGGAGGTAGAAAAGAGAGCCTTGACGTCCTTTTCAGGGACACCACCAAGTCATTGGTTCAGGTATGTTGACGACACCTGGGTTAAAATTAAATCTCAGGAAGTCCAACATTTTACTGACCACATCAACTCTGTGGATAAATACATCAAGTTCACACAAGAAGATGTAAAAAATGGCAAGTTGGCTTTCTTGGACTGTGAGGTCTCAGTCTCTGATAGAGGACATTTGCAAACTGAGGTGTACCGCAAACCCACCCACACAGACCAGTATTTGCAGTTTGACTCCCATCACCCTTTGGAGCACAAGTTAGGAGTCATCAGGACTCTATATCACAGAGCAGACAGCGTCCCCACTAACTCAGGAGCCAGGCAGAAGGAGAAATCCCACACAAAACAGGCTCTAGAGCAATGTGGATATCCTAACTGGGCCTTCCTGAAAGCAGAGAAGAAACCCAAACAGGACTCCAGTCAGCCAACAGGTGAAAAGGAGGAACCCAGACCCAGACCAGTGGTCATTCCATATGTTGAGGGAGTATCAGAGAAACTGAGACGTTTATTTTCTAAACATAATGTCCCAGTGGCTTTTAAACCCCAAAATACCTTACGGCAAAGACTGGTTCATCCCAAAGATCCAGTCCCCCGGCACAAACAGAGCAATGTTGTGTATGCTGTTCAGTGTCAGGAGGGTGATCAGTCTTACATCGGGGAAACAAAACAGCCACTGGCCAAAAGGATGGCCCAGCACAGAAGATCAACATCATCAGGCCAGGACTCTGCGGTCTACACTCATCTCCAGGCCAGCGGTCACTCTTTCAGGGATGAAGATGTTCACATCCTGGACAGAGAGGAACGATGGTTTGAGAGAGGAGTAAAGGAGGCCATCTTTGTGAAAAGAAATCGTCCATCATTAAACAGGGGTGGAGGCCTCCGGGTTCAACTGTCCCCCTCTTACAATGCTGTGATTGCTAGTATCACTCAGCCCTCTGTGAACAGTAAACAGCCATCAGTGTGCTAATGATCCATTGTTATGCTGATGGTCCTTCTTGAGCATGTGATCAGCTGGTTTTGGTTGTCAGCAGCAAACTGGTTGATCCACTCTGAGAAGGTGCTATTTAAGAGACTGAGCTGAATACAGCACCTCAGACTGAGGAAGTCTCTCGGATGAGAGACGAAACGTTTCTATATTTTTTTGCTTTGTTTTGTTTTTTGTTTCTTTGAATGTCCAGAGGACCAGATTGAACTTTTTTGGATTTTTCTACCTGGATTATTGAGCATGCATCAGGATATAAAGTAGGATTAGCAAAGCGTTAATGGATCCATTTTGAATTCACATGGATGATCAGTTTTTAAATGAACCATTTTTTAAATGCAGATCTAAAACTGGATTTCTGCTAAATCTACAGTATTCTGTGGGAAGAGCAGAGCTGTCCCAAACCACCGGATGGATTTTAAGGAAACTCTCTGAAAGTAATGACTGGATGTAAGTCATCAACTGATTAACCCAAGATTTCAATTCAAGATGTCCGCCACAGCCAACTGATCATACAAAACACAGAAATATTTTATATAGTTCATTTTACAGAAACTGAGATCAAATTTGGTGTGGTAGTAGCTGAGACTCCTCTTCAGTACACATTCCGAGCGCGCCTCGTTTGATTAAAACTTTAGCATTAACTTTTGGAGTCCACCTTGTTTGTCTGTTAGCAAAATATCACATGAACCATTTACAACTGCTAAATTTTTAGAGTTCAAAGATGGCTGCCTTGATGAATCAACATCTGCCAACACGACCACGAGGCAGGCAGCTCTCAAGATATGTAGCTAAAAACTGATGAGGTTGTAGATGAAAGTCATTCATAATCAGATTGTGTTATTTTCAAGGTTTGACTCAACAACAGATGATTTTAAATTTAAACTCTTGACTTTAAAGGCAGCAGGTGATATGCATTCCTTCAAGGATTTTTAAAAATATATTAAAAAATGTTTCCTATGAAAAGTCCAGGTCTCTCTAGGTCCCAGTTAAATTTGTATAATTGTTTAAAACAGAAAAAAAATGTAATGACAAAAGTTAAATAAATAACATTTTATTTCATAAATCTGCTCAGGACATAAATGATGTGAAGATGGAGACTCGTGACAAAAAGAATCGTCTTGACGTAAAGTTTTAAAAACGTAAACTTTACAGCTGTTTTTATCGATATCTGGACACGATGTGCAGCATCTGCTTCCTTTTACTGACTTTGGGTAAACCTTTGTAAAAAATCATTAATTCAATCTACTGCAGTTAAATGTTAATCATTGAAAATAAAAAGTCACATGACTTACTCACGTGTGGTTTCTCTCAGAAAATAATATTTATAAAATAAAAAATTAGGCTTTCACACATGATTTACACATTGAAATATAACAAATATATAAAAGCACTTTTTTTACTTTCAGTTTCTTGAACACATTTTTGAATCCCTGCAGCTATAAAAGCTGCGTGTCTGTGACTGAATAAATGTGCTCGGAGCCGGGTTCAGACAGGCCCATCAGAGACTCCAGGAGGTGGGTGCTGGACTCCAGGAGGTGGGTGCTGGACTCCAGGAGGTGGGTGCTGGACTCCTGCTGTGGTAAACGAACAGAGCTGAACAGCTGGAAGAGCTGAACGCTGTCCGAGTGTCTGTGCTCTTTAAACGAGCTGTGCAGGGGGCCGCAGGGGTAGTCCCTGTGGAAGAACTCCAGGTCCGAGTCGGACGAGAGGCTCAGGTCCACGTATCTGCTGGAGAAGTCCACGGTGGGGGATGGGGTGTGGGGGAAGTCCTCCAGAGAACCGTCCTCGAAAAAGTCTGTGGACTGATTAGCGTTCTCGTCAAGGTATGTGCCGCTCAGACCCATGCTGTCTGTGACGGCGGCTCGTGGTCTCGTACTGTCAGAGGTCGTGGTGTGAGGGTCAGAGGTCGGCGGCTCTCTGACGGGCCTCAGGTGGCTGCGTGTGAAGCAGTTCCTGGAGTCGGCTTCAGGTGGAGCCTCTCGGAGAAATGCTCCGGTGTCCGAGTCAGAGGAGGAGCAGGAGGAGTCAGACGTGTCGCTGCTGCAGCTGCTCTCCTCAAGCAGCCGCTCAGGGACGCAGTGGAAGGATGGAGGAGCCGGCATGGTGAGAGGAAGGCTGTCCTCCTCCGAGGAATAGGCAAAGGGACACCTCTTTTCCTGCGCACTCTGATCGGGGCGGACTTCATCCTGGGTTCTGAATTCTTGGAGCTCCTCTGGAAGTTCTGCCTGGTCCTCTGGGTTCAGTGTTTCGCGGTGCAGTCGCTGCTCCAGGTCGAGCCTCATCAGCGTATGGATGTAGTGGGTCTGCACGCGCCGGGCGTCAAACTGGAAGCGGCCTTGTGCGTTTCCACAGCTGTCCTTCGTGCATCCACAGGGGAAGCTGAACCGGTCAACCTGAAGGTGAAAAGATAAAAATCATCATTTACTCCAACCTGTTTCCACCAGGCTGAAAACAACAACAACCTGTTACCTGGCACTTGATGCCTGCCAGGCTGCAGGCGCAGCTCTCCGGCTCACAGAAGCCCTGACAGTCACACCCGCACGCCTCCCTGGAGAGCCGCAGCCCGTGAAGCTGCCGCCTCTCCTCCTTGTCGATCACCTTCACCCCCGCCGCCTGCAGGAGCGCCTGTCGCTGTCTGGAGGAGACGGGTCGAAGGAAGCCTCCGTCCTCCAGGTCCGAGTCGGTAACATGGATCTCTGCCTCCTCATTTAGAAGCTGATCCACGGCGAGCCCGTCTGCGTCGTGCTGCCCAGCAGCTCCGCTGACGATCAGCTGATGAGAGCAGGCGACGTGAGACGACTTCTGAGCAGACTCAGAGGATCGTAGAAGAAATCAGAGACACTTACTTTACGTTTCAGCGCCTCGAACCTCTTCTGTCTCTGTCGTTCTCTGTGCCTCTCTTGGCGCCTGAGCCGTTGCTCGGAGGCGTGTTCCGCCACCGTATACCGCCGGAGGGCGCTGTGACCGCGCACCATGCCGAGGGTGGCCCCTCCTCGGCTGGGGACGCTGCTGAAGCCCTGGCAGCGGGGGAACCTGTACACCTCCACCTGGTCGAAGCGCACAGTGCTCTGCGTTTTACTACGCCCGGGCCTCTTCAGGATGGACTCGTCTGATGGGTCAGAAAACACAAAAGCTCAACAACGTTTGCTTGTCTGTTAGAAAAGTCACAATATGACTTTACATACATACAGATCCTACTTTAAATGACTGAGGGATGTATTTCTCTTCAGGTTCGATCAATTCCTAGAAAAATACTGAAGGTATTTTTTGAAGAAATGCATAAAACTCGCTGCCTCGTGCCACAGTTTTACACTCAGATCATCTCACAGTGAGAAATGATGGAGTCAAAGCTGTTTTTGGTCAAATCTTGAAAATAAAGTCAAGCCAAGGTCACGAGATGTTTGACTCTGTTACAAACACCAAAGTTTAGCACCATATTTGTAAAACTGGCTGAATTATGCCCATTTTATTCCTTCTTCTGGAAGTTTTATTAAAATCTTTCCAGTGGGTCATGAGTTGTTTTGCTAACAGACAAATGAACACCGCAGACTCCTTCACTTTTCAGCAACAGGCAGTAAATACTGTAGGTCAGGGGTGTCCAGACTTTTTCATCATGGAGCTCCTTTTAAAATGACCAGGTCAAAGTGATCTACCTGCTATAAGGCTCTGTTTTCACAGAACAACCTCTGGAAACATTAGTGGTGTTTCAATGTTTATTGGGGTAATAAACAAAAAATGAGAGGGTTTACACAAAAACGCTGTAGTTTCCATGTCAGTTGGGTTGCCAGATAAGAAATGAAGAACTATAGTACTGTGGCTTTAAAATGTTAGTATTTTGACCTAAACTGTGATATGTGCTGAGTAAAGATGTTCTAAGATGAGGTGTGTGTTGTGTTTGTTGAACACATGCACAGAAAAAAAGGGGGACATTTAAAATGTATCTGGCAACCCTGATGCAGGGCTCAGCTGCATTCATTGTGCATGCAACGTCTGTATGATCACAGTTAGTCCAAACTGGTGACCACACAAACGTCTCGTTGTAACTGGATTTTATTAGTTTGTTCCTACATGATGAAAAAGGCTGAGCAGCACAAAAACACTCTGCTCTCTGACATTTATTATAACTGTTGTTATTTATTATAACTGTTGTTATTTATTATAACTGTTGTTATTTATTATACCTGTTGTTATTTATTATAACTGTTGTTGTTTATTATAACTGTTGTTATTTATTATACCTGTTG